CTTGACCGTAACTAAACAAGTCACTTTATACTTGATCAAAGAGGCCAGATGTAGAGTATATTTACCTCTTTTTAGGGATTTGCCGGCGAGTTTTCTTGACTCGTCAGCTTCAATTTGGTTGTGACGATGATAATGTCCGTCTAATGACGCACGAAAGCTTAGCACCATTTCACCAGAATCGAAGGAGATTGCCTCGGAAACAGCGTCAACATGAATCTTGCAGTAAAGCCACTCGACAGCTGGTCAAGAAGAATTCACCATCGTCTTCTGGTGGAATGGATCTTTGAATCTCTTCAAGCAACACCTCTACTCGAAGTGGAGGTAAGCGCAACAATTATGAAACAACAAATTCCTCGAAACCCAACTTTTCTTCGTATAAAATAGATGACTTGTTTTCCCCCTACAGATAGTATGTGGGATTTACCGGTCCACTCCAATCCAACAGGCCCTACAAAGTGATTTACATACCCAGCAGAGATGGCACAATAATTCTGAACGGCATGCAGTCTCAAAACTCTACTTTGATACGAAAAATACGGCCAGGCGAGTTCAGTCTAGGCTGAAGTGACACGCAAGTGTAGAATTCCTGTCGAGCATGAATGCATTCCTGTTCGTCTATCTTAAGCCCCGAATACGTCATTGGCCAGCTCATCCAGCTCGACAAAACACAAGCCGGTTGAACAGCGAGGGGTCTGGGAGGCCTGCTGCCCTACAGACAGGCACTCAGAAGGCCCGTATCGTCTCCACAACGTCCAGATGTCCACTTGAGAAGTTGCCGTGTCGACTGCACGTGGTTGGCATGGCCGAGTTGATAGTTTCACAATAGTCGTTGGCAGAAGCCCCAGTCGTGATTTGGCGAACTATCCGGCCGTGGGTAGCTAAGATAAACGTTCGAAGTCAGTTGACTCCAATCGTGTTTACGCTTGATATAGACACAGGCCTGCCACATCCAGTCCTGACGACCGGAGCGTTGTAGAGGCCATCAGACGGCGAATTCACTTTGGCCACAGCTTGTTGGATTTAGGCCAACGTCTGGACACGGTGAAATGAAGCAAGGACACAACTTTGCTGCCACCCCAGTTCAGGTAGCGAAAAGGTAGATTGGGCCCCGGCTTCCGTGACGCCTGGAACGGGACTCGAAACTGTTGGTTACCGCCAGTCAAGGCGAAATGAAGCGAGGGCATCACAGCTGCTGAGCTGTACGTCAGTTGGCTCATTCCTCTCGACTTGAGCCAAACGTCTTCCTTCGAAGTTGGCGAAGATCCACTTGCCTCCAGAAAAGAGAGCAGTTTCTTGTAGAATGGCTTAATTTAGCTTATTGTGTGATGAAAAGCATAAAAGCTTAGTCACCCTATGCCTCATGAGGGCTGCCTCCTCTCCGGTTTATACCACAGCGGGATTCAATCCCAGGTCGTGAGTATCGTGGAGATTTTATCACTATACATAGTCATATTTTGTTCCTTTAGAGATGGGGTTCACTTCAATGGAAACGTGAGATTTACTCATAGCAATGTGGACAAATTCAAATCACCCAAAACGAAATAGAGTAAACACATCTCGTGAACACATTTTTTCGTTTAGAAGTAGGGTTTCGAGACTGCCACTAAAGCATTCATATGAGAGGTATTCAATTTATTTCGTTTCAGTTGAATTGTCCCAGAATCATATGAAATATGATGAATACATCTCACATAAACATATTATTGCTATTGCAAGAAATGATATTACT